AAAAAAAAAAAAAAGTTCCATGACCAGACATGGCTCCTGTAGTGTTCAAACACTCAAGAGGCTGAGGTGGGAGGAGCACTTGAGCCTAGGAGTTTTAGGTTATAGTATGCTGTGGTTACACCTGTGAATAGCCACTGCACTCCAGCCTGGGCAACATAGCAAGACTCCATGTGTTAAAAACTTTTTTTTGCATTTGGCCAGGGCCAGGTTTCAACCTACCACCCACCACCCTCAGTATATGGGACCGGCGCCCTACTCACTAAGCCACAGGTGCTGCCCTAAAAAAATATTTTTTAAGTTCTTTATTTTAGGTCCTGGTTAGAGTTCTAATTTTTTTTTAATCAATTTTTGTTTATTTACTTATTTAGTTAGTTAGTTAGTTTTGGCTGGGACTGGGTTTGAACCAGTCCCATACACCTCTGGTATATGGGGCCAGCACCCTACTCCCTTGATCCACAGGTGCCACCCTAGAGTTCCAATTTTAAGGCAATATAGGGAGTATTGACATCAAAGAGGTAGAAAGAGATCAGAAACTGTAGAGGGCAAGGGCCTTAAGGAAATACTAGTATAAGTTCTCTTCCTTTTTTCAAGACAGGCAAATTAAACTAGACAAGTGAGGTTGCTAATCCTGATGTGGGATGAAATCTCTGGAAAAAGCCTGGCTTGCCAAAACACGTCAATGGAGATTTGGGGTGTTTGTTAGTAATTATATCCATGACACTTGGGAGCACAAGTGTGTATATAAATAATTTGTACAGTATAAAAATGAACTGACTCCAAAAGATCTAAAAGGAATATTTATACTACAGTATACTGTTATTCATTATGAAGTACCCATAAAGAGACATACCCTTGTCTTGAGCAAATCATTCAAGTAACTATACCGAAGGGTATTCTTAATTGTTGTTTTTATTTTATTTATTTTTATTTTTTGTAGTTTTTGGCTGGGGCTGGGTTTGAACCTGCCACCTCAGGACTCCTTTGAGCCACAGGCACCACCCTATTTATTTACTTTTTTTGAGACAGAATCTTGCTATGGTGCCCTCGGTAGAGTGCTGTGCCATCACAGTTCACAGCAACCTCAAACTCTAGGGTTTACTCGATACTCTTGCCTTAGCCTCTCAAGTAGCTGGGACTACGGGTGCCTGCCATGACCCCCAGCTGTTTTTTTTTATAGTTGTCATTGTTGTTTGGCAGGCCTAGGCCAGATTTGAACCTGCTAGTCCCAGTGTATGTGGCTGGCGCCCTAGGCACTGAGCTACAGACACTGAGCCATTAATTGTTTTTAATTTTTCTCAGCCCCACTGTGTTGAGCATAGTGTTCAACAAGCAGTTTACCTCATTTCTCCTAAAAGCTTTTTTTTTGTAGTTTTGTTATTGAGACAGAGTCTCATTATGTCACCCTTGATAGCATACTGTGGCATCACAGCTCACAGCAATCTCCAAGTCTTGGGCTTAAGTGATTCTCTTGCCTCAGCCTCCCAAGTAACTGGGACTACAGTTGCCCACCACAATGCCCAGCTATTTTTTGGTTGCATTTCCCATTGTTTAGCAGGCCTGGGCTGGGCCCAAACCCGCCAGCCTTGGTGTATGTGGCTGGCGCCCTACTCACTGAGCTACAGGCGCCGAGCCCTAAAAGGAGATTTTAGAAGTAAGCAATCTGGCTCGGCGCCTGTGGCGCAAGTGGCTAAGGCACTAACCACATACACCTAAGGTGGAGGGTTCGAATCCAGCCTGGGTCCGCCAAACAACAATGACGGCTGCAACCGAAAAAAAATAGCTAGGCGTTGTGGCAGGCACCTGTGGTCCGAGCAACTTGGGAGGCGGAGGTAGGAGACTCACTTGAGCCCAGGAGTTGGAGGTTGCTGTGAGCTATGCCATGGCACTCTACCCAGGGGGACAGCTTGAGGCTCTG